TATCTTCTTGGAAATTTTGACTACGGCCAACAGCCATCTCCTTGCAAATTTAGACTAAGCTTCATAACCATCTCCTTGTAAATGTACATAGTCCTCTCTTTGAAAGTTTGGACTACATTCACAGCCATCTCCTTCAAAATTTTGACTATGATTCATAGCCATCTCCTTGAAAATTTGGTCTGCTTTTCATAGCCACGGTTCAGCCATCTCCTTGAAATTTTGGACTACTGTTCCTAGCCATCTCCTTGCAAATTTAGACTGCATTTCATAGCCATCTCTCTGAAAGTTCAGATTAGATTCATAGCCATCTCCTGGCAAACTTAGATGACACTTCATAGCCATCTTCTTGAAAGTTCAGGTGATGGTTCATAGCCATCTACTTGAAAAAATTGACTATGTTAATAGTCATCTCCTTGAAAGTTTGGACTACATTCACAGCCATCTCCTTCAAAATTTGGACTATGGTTAATAGTCATCTCCATGAAAGTTTGGACCACTGTCCCTAGCCATCTCCTTGGAAATTTGAACTATGGCTAACAGCCATCTCTTTGCAAATTTAGACTACACTTCATAGCCATCTCCTTGTAAATGTGGACTATACACATAGTCATCTCCTTGATGACTACATTGACAGCCATCTCATTCAAAATTTGGACTGAATTTCCTAGCCATCTTCCTGAAAATTCAGATTACATTCATAGCCATCTCCTGGCAAACTTAAACTACACTTCATAGCTATCTTCTTGAAAGTTCAGATGATGGTTCATAGCCGTCTACTTGAAAAAATGGACTACATTCACAGCCATCTTCTTCAAAATTTGGACTATGTTTCATAGCCATCTCCTTGAAAGTTTGGACCACTGCCCATAGTCATCTCCTTGCAAAAATATACTGTATTTCATAACCATCTCCCTGAAAGTTCGGACTACAGCTCATGGCTATCTCCTTGAAAATTTAGACCACATTTCATAGCCATCTCCTTCAAAATTTGGACTATGTTCATAGCCATCTCCTTGAAAGTTCGGACTACATTCATTGCCATCTCCTTCAAAATCTGGACTATGCTTCATAGCTATCTCCTTGAAAGTTTGGAATACATTCACAACCATCTCCTTCAAAATTTGGACTATGCTTCATAGCCATCTCCTTGAAAGTTTGGACCACTGTCCATAGCCATCTCCTTGAAAATATAGATGGTATTTCATAACCATCTCCCTGAAAGTTCGGACTACAGCTCATAGCCATTTCCTTGGAAATTTAGACTACATTCGTAGTCATCTGATTTGATATTTGGGCTATGTTCATAGCCATCTCATTGAAAGTTGGGACTACGTTCATTGCCATCTCCTTCAAAATTAGGACTATGTTCATAGCCATCTCATTGAAAGTTCAGACTATGTTCATAGCCATCTCCTGAAAATTAGGACTATGTTCATAGCCATCTCATTGAAAGTTCAGACTATGTTCATAGCCATCTCCTGAAAATTAGGACTATGTTCATAGCCATCTCATTGAAAGTTCAGACTATGTTCATAGCCATCTCCTGAAAATTAGGACTATGTTCATAGCCATCTCCTTGAAAGTTGGGACTACATTCATACCCATCTCCTGAAAATTAGGACTATGTTCATAGTCATCTCATTGAAAGTTGGGACTACATTCATAGCCATCTCCTGAAAATTAGGACTATGCTCATAGTCATCTCATTGAAAGTTCAGATTATGTTCATAGCCATCTCATTGAAAGTTCAGACTATGTTCATAGCCATCTCCTGAAAATTAGGACTCTGCTCATAGTCATCTCCTTGAAAGTTGGGACTACATTCATAGCCATCTCCTGAAAATTAGGACTATGTCCATAGCCATCTCATTGAAAGTTCAGACTATGTTTATAGCCATCTCCTGAAAATTAGGACTATGTTCATAGCCATCTAATTGAAAGATCAGACTATGTTCATAGCCATCTCCTTGAAAATTGGGACTACATTCATAGCCATCTCCTGAAAAATAGGACTATGTTCATAGCCATCTCATTGAAAGTTCAGACTATGTTCATAACCATCTCCTGAAAATTAGGACTATGTTCATAGTCATCTCATTGAACAGACTACATTCATAGCCATCTCCTGAAAATTAGGACTATGCTCATAGTCATCTCCTTGAAAGTTGGGACTACATTCATAGCCATCTCCTTGAAAATTAGGACTATGTTCATAGCCATTTCCTGAAAATTAGGACTATGTTCATAGCCATCTCATTGAAAGTTAGACTATTCTCACAGTCATCTTGAAAGTTCGGACTATATTCATGGCCATCTCCTTCAAAATTAGGACTATGTTCATAGCCATCTCCTTGAAAGTTTGGACCACTGTCCATAGCCATCTCCTTGAAAATATAGATGGTATTTCATAACCATCTCCCTGAAAGTTCGGACTACAGCTCATAGCCATTTCCTTGGAAATTTAGACTACATTCGTAGTCATCTGATTGGATATTTGGGCTATGTTCATAGCCATCTCATTGAAAGTTGGGACTACGTTCATTGCCATCTCCTTCAAAATTAGGACTATGTTCATAGCCATCTCATTGAAAGTTCAGTCTATGCTCATAGTCATCTCCTTGAAAGTTGGGACTACATTCATAGCCATCTCCTGAAAATTAGGATTATGTTCATAGCCATCTAATTGAAAGTTCAGACTATGTTCATAGCTATCTCCTGAAAATTAGGACTATGTTCATAGCCATCTCATTCAAAGTTCAGACTATGTTCATAGCCATCTCCTGAAAATTAGGACTATGTTCATAGCCATCTCATTGAAAGTTGGAACTACATTCATAGTCATCTCCTTGAAAATTAGGACTATGCTCATAGTCATCTCATTGAAAGTTGGGACTACATTCATAGCCATCTTCTTGAAAATTAGGACTATGCTCATAGTCATCTAATTGAAAGTTCAGACTATGTTCATAGCCATCTAATTGAAAGTTCAGACTATGTTCATAGCCATCTACTGAAAATTAGGACTATTTTCATAGCCATCTCCTTGAAAGTTGGGACTACATTCATAGCCATCTCCTGAAAATTAGGATTATGTTCATAGTCATCTCCTTGAAAGTTGGGACTACATTCATAGCCATCTCCTGAAAATTAGGACTATGTCCATAGCCATCTCATTGAAAGTTCAGACTATGTTTATAGCCATCTCCTGAAAATTAGGACTATGTTCATAGCCATCTAATTGAAAGATCAGACTATGTTCATAGCCATCTCCTTGAAAATTGGGACTACATTCATAGCCATCTCCTGAAAAATAGGACTATGTTCATAGCCATCTCATTGAAAGTTCAGATTATGTTCATAGTCATCTCCTTGAAAGTTGGGACTACATTCATAGCCATCTCCTGAAAATTAGGACTATGTCCATAGCCATCTCATTGAAAGTTCAGACTATGTTTATAGCCATCTCCTGAAAATTAGGACTATGTTCATAGCCATCTAATTGAAAGATCAGACTATGTTCATAGCCATCTCCTTGAAAATTGGGACTACATTCATAGCCATCTCCTGAAAAATAGGACTATGTTCATAGCCATCTCATTGAAAGTTCAGACTATGTTCATAACCATCTCCTGAAAATTAGGACTATGTTCATAGTCATCTCATTGAACAGACTACATTCATAGCCATCTCCTGAAAATTAGGACTATGTTCATAGTCATCTCACTGAAAGTACGGTCTATGCTCATAGTCATCTCCTTGAAAGTTGGGACTACATTCATAGCCATCTCCTTGAAAATTAGGACTATGTTCATAGCCATCTCACTGAAAATAAGGACTATGTTCATAACCATCTAATTGTAAGTTCAGACTATGTTCATAGCCATCTCCTGAAAATTAGGACTATGTTCATAACCATCTCATTGAAATTTGGGTTTATGCTCATAGTCATCTCCTTGAAAGTTGGGACTACATTCATAGCCATCTCCTTGAAAATTAGGACTATGTCCATAGCCATCTCATTGAAAGTTCAGACTATGTTCATAGCCATCTCCTGAAAATTAGGACTATGTTCATAACCATCTCATTGTAAGTTCAGACTATGTTCATAGCCGTCTCCTGAAAATTAGGACTATGTTCATAACCATCTCATTGTAAGTTCAGACTATGTTCATAGCCGTCTCCTGAAAATTAGGACTATGTTCATAGCCATCTCATTGAAAGTTCAGACTATGTTCATAGCCATCTCCTGAAAATTAGGACTATGTTCATAGCCATCTCATTGAAAGATCAGACTATGTTCATAGCCATCTCCTTGAAAGTTGGGACTACATTCATAGCTATCTCCTTCAAAATTTGGACTATGTTCATAGCCATCTCCTTGAAAGTTGGGACTACATTCATAGCCATCTCCTGAAAATTAGGACTATGTTCATAGTCATCTCATTGAAAGTTCGGTCTATGCTCACAGTCATCTCCTTGAAAGTTGGGACTACATTCATAGCCATCTCCTGAAAATTAGGACTATGTTCATAGCCATCTCCTTGAAAGTTGGGACTACATTCATAGCCATCTCCTGAAAATTAGGACTATGTTCATAGCCATCTCCTTGAAAGTTGGGACTACATTCATAGCCATCTCCTGAAAATTAGGACTATGTTCATAGCCATCTCATTGAAAGTTGGAACTACATTCATAGTCATCTCCTTCAAAATTTGGACTATGATCATAGTCATCTTGAAAGTTCGGACTACGTTTCATGGACACCTCCTTGCAAATGTGGACTTCCCAGAATGGATTGTCCAGCCCACTGACCCAGTGCAGAACCCGCAGCTTCTGCCCAACAGTTTTCAGGACACTCTTCTCCTTCCCACTGGTGGCCATCCCCCTGAAAGTTGGGTGTACAACCCAAAAGGGACTCTCCAACGCATCTTCCAACTGGACCCAGAATATCCTCAACCCAAGAGGAGGAGAAGGAGGAAGAGAAGAAGGCAGCCACTCACCTCGGACCAGCCCTCCGGCCAGAATCAGCACCACGGAGAGCGACGGGAGCCCCATCCCGCCCCAAAGCCTTGGCAAGGCTCCCCAAAGTTGGCAAGGCTTGGGCAAGGAAGGGATCTGAGAGAGAGAGGAGAGGAGAGGCTGGGAAGGCGAGGATCCCTCCTGCCTGCCTGCTTTCTCCCTGCCTCTGCTTCACTCGCCCTGCTTCCTCCTCCTTCTGCTCGCTTTCCCACGTGACTGGGCTGCCTCCTCCCGAGGAGACCGACCCACCGCAGGCAAAGCAGCAAAGGCAAGCAGGCAGGAATATTATGCAGCCTCTCCGGCGGCGGAGGCGGGTTTTATATGGAGATCCCAGCCTTGTCCCGGTGCCAAAAGCGCTTCTGCAGCGGGATTGATGGAAAGGAGGGAGGGAGGGAAAGGAGGGGCAGGAGGAGGGGGGCAGGAGGGGGCTGGGGGTCCACCTCGCTGGGAGAGTTTGGGCACTGGAATGGCATCCTGGCAGGAAGGAATGCATCATTGTCATCATCATCACCAGGCTGACTTTCCACTGGGAGAGTTTGGCTATTGGACTCACATCCTACTAGGAAGGAATTGAGTATTATTATTATTAGTATTAGTATTAGTATTAGTATTTTGTTATAAGGCTGATATTCCATTGGGAGAGTTTGGGACTGGAGTAACATCTTTCTAGAAATGAATGGATGATGACGATGATTATTATTATTA